TCTTACTACTTTGTTTCTTATTTCTCCCGCCCCTCAATTGTTTCCCTTTGTGCTTGAAAAAAATAAAAAATAAATTGAGTATACTTGTGTCATTTATATAATTAAATATTGCTAATACGTAAATACCAGAATTATTATGTAAATATACCAGAATTGTTTTCTAAATAAATTCATAAATGCGGACGCAATATACATGATACAACTATTATTTGTATAATTAAAATGCTAGAATTATCCCATAAATATTTAATAAAATTATCGGTTATTAGTATACCTTTTATATAATTAAATATTAATTATAGATGCAATATACTAAGAATCAATTCTGGTGGAAGTCATATTCTTGCGATAAATTCAGAACAATTGAAATATAAATGCATTGAAGAACAATTCCACATTTTATAATAATACCATTATTATACCAATTATATAATTAAATAGTGATAAGTAAATATGTAATATAACATAACTATTCCAGAAATATATGTATAATATATATTCCAATTAATACATTATATCATTGTTATTATACCTGCTAAATTCCAAATTCATTGGAGTTATATTGATCTTATTTCCAACGGATTGGATACACTTCAAATATAAATGAATATTTTAAAGTATTTTCTCGTAATATTTTTGATCTTATTGTTCTTACTTTTCAATTCTTAGTGGTAGTATATATCAATATACCTATTATATTCAATATATATTATTTTAATATTTGATTATTTTCTCAACTGTTGATTGCTTTATGCATGTTTTATCCCAAGTTTATTTATAAATAACTTTTATGAATGGAAAGGAATCATTGAGATCCAAGTTTGTTCTCAAGCGTGATATATGGGACGTAGTTAATTAGAACTTGAACCGTTTACGATAATTTAGTAACTGAAAACGTGATTCTTGGTCCAATATTATAGGTTTCTGCTAGAATTATAGTTAATTAGTTGTCATATTTGTTAATTACTTATTGTTGCTGGAAGTCTGTAAAAGTTTCTTAAATATTGCCTAATTATGTTTTTTCCCCTACTAAATTTACTTCATGAAACATAACATGTAAGTTAATTAGAAGAGCAAATAACAGATATTTTTCCAACAAAACTAGTTCCGTATTTAATCAAATGAAGTAAATATTTACCAATAAAAGTATATTCACTAAATAATTTAATTATTATTAATTTTGTATTATGATATTGTCGTTATAAAATAACTTGTTCACTAACTAAAGATCCTCAAATTGTATATTTCATAGAACTTAAACTCTTCGACATTAGAAATTAAGTTGAAAAAACTTTATAGAAGCTGGGCTAAAAAGAAGAAGAAAAATCAAGACTCTGCAACTTAAAAAAAAAAAAATTCAAGAATTTTATTTGCTTCTTGCACTATTTATTTTAATTTTATTAAAAGAAAAATTTTCTGTATACTTATGTTGAAAAAACTTTCTAGAAGCTTGAGCTAAAAAGAAGAAGAAATATCAAGACTTTGCAACTACGAAAAAAAAAACCAAGAATTTTATTTGCTTCTTGCACTATTTAATTTAATTTATTAAAAGAAAATTTTCTCTATTTGAACAACTGCTTGTGGTGAAAAAAATACAGAGTAGAGAAGAAAAATGATACTAAATTATGCTTCTTCTGCGTTTATCCAATGGAACAAAACTCCAAAGAAAATGATATATTTCTCTGCTTCTACTGCTAATTTAAATATGGAGAAGCTTAGAGAACAATTAGACCATCTTCACAAGGAAGCACAAACCACAAGAAACAAAGGTATTATC